TACCGAGTGAGGATCACAAAGCACCAACTCGGTTCCTCCTAACTATCGGGTGGAGATCACCTAGCACCTACCCGTTCCTCATGAATTTTGGGTAACGATCACCAAGCATTTACCCGTCTCTAGTCACTATCGGGTGATGATCACAAAGCATCAACCCGCTTCTACTAACCGTTGGATGATGATCACAAAGCATCAACCCACTTATCTAATAACTAATCGGATAGTGATCACAAAGCATCTACCCCATTTCTATTACTCATTGGGTGACGATCACAAAGCATCGACCCATCTCTAAGGGCTATTCGGATGATGTTCACAAAGCATCAATCCGATTCCCATAACGGTCGGGTGATGATCACAAAGCATCATCCCAACTATACTACTCTTCTAACTCATTCTATTGTAGCATTTTTCAATGCTCTCTACCCTTAGAGTAATTTTACCCACTAAGCTCTCTACTCATAGGGTATTTCTATACACAAAGTTCCCTACTCTTTCTTAGGTCACTTGTCAATGCATATAACAATGCACATGGATGATTCATCTCTACTAATGCACTTGTGAAATGCCAACATGCAATGTTGCAAAAATTAAGGTTCATTACTCACACTCAATTCTCTATTAGGCATTTCATCAAACAACTCATGTGCACCATAAAACTCTATCATAGCCATGAATCTAAAACTTTTCCTAACCATCCAAAATGGGGAAAAACCCCTTCACAAAGCCATAATAACCTGCCAAATAACACACTTCCAAAAAGGGTTCCATAACACCCCTTCAAATCCATCTCAACTACCTTGCCAAACCAACAACCCATTTCTCATATTTGCAAAGTAATAACATTCACAAAGCATAGAAATTTCTATTTAATCCTTCATACATGCCATATTACATGTATATCACATACATACATCATTTCTATCAAAACCCTAATCAAGAAATTTCATAAATCTCAACTTGGGTTGGGTTTTACTTACTTGCTATGGAGAGACTTCACCAAATCTTCTTTCCACTTGGTTTCTTGACTATTCTCTCTACTCTTAACCAAAAGAATGAAAACCCTCAAAAACCAAAATGAACTAAAATCTACATATCACACAACTTAAGGAGAAATCCTTACCTTAGGAAGCCTTAGGTTGCTTTCTATACCCCCAAATCACTTCAAAACCCTTGAAATTCCTTGAACCAAAAGAAAAGAGAAATTGAGAGGAGAAGAAATGAAGAGTCACGTTTGAGAAGAAGAAATGAGGGGTTCTTTGATTCTAATTCCTTTTAATGAAATATTAACACACTCATTCCCATTTTGCCCTTGTTCTATTTTGGAAATTCCATCCATATCCTTTGATTCATTACAAACTCACCCCCATCTCAACATACTCTCCATGAAAAATCCTTACAATTCACTCCCCACTTTTCCTACTAATTAGGGGTAGAAAGGTCAAATTGCCCTTGGGGAAGAAAATATCTAAAACTCAACCAACTAAAAAAATCGGCCCGTCGCCGCGGCGAAGAAACCTTTGTCGCCGCGGCGAAACTATCCAGAGAGTTTCGCCCTTGGTCTCAACACATCTTCGCCGCGGCGAAGACTCTTCTTCGCCCCGGCGAAGCTTGGTACACTCAAATTCTTCTATTTTCAACCAAAATTCAGGGCAACAATCAAATAACACTCAAACAAACAAATATAACGAAAACCAACTCGATTAAGGGCGAAAGAGGAAACAATAACAACGTACCTCAAGTGGGGCGTTACACTCCAACTCATACAGACATGGACCAAATGAGCTACATCAATACCTACAAATAGACATGTCCTACATGACGAAAAAGGAGAAACATAAGATGGATGTGCTTCAATGGTGAAACCAAAATCAAAGTTGATTCCCCATTGTAGCCTAAATGACATGTGACATTTTATCTGTGCCAGTTTCGACAATTGCATCTGAGTCAACATTCTCAATTAGTAGCCGGATTGTTGAAGACAGAAGATGCTCTTTAATTAATGGGATGGTTAAGTGATAATGTGTTTACGAGATTGAACTCATACAGATAGAAGACTAAAACAACACCTTAAAGATCCCGAACTACTCAAACTCTCAAAGAACACAAATTTGAACGATGTAAATATTGACGATTTAAATAAATAATTTAATAAAAGCAAATTTATTTAATTGTTTATTTGTGAAGTGTGATTGTGTGGATATTATATTTATGTTAAAATTAATTAATTAAATTATCTCTTTAAAGTTTAAATTACAAACATTGTAAATTTATAAATAATTATTAATTATAATTAACCATTCATTTATATTTCTAATAATTAACTAAAAATTTACAAATCACCCCTAAAAAGTTACATAAACCCCTTATATAATTTTGATTTAGCCCCTAAATATTACAAAAAGTTAAGGGTAAAATAAATTTTTCAAGCCCCTAGGACTTGTCCTAAGACCAGTCCTAGGCACTGATCTAGGCCCTAAAAGTTTTCATGAGCCCGGGACTGAGACTAGTCCCAAGCCTATTTAAGACTGGTCCCAAATGGGATCGGTCCCAATCGGGCCTAAACCTAGGCCCGATTGGGTCCAGTCCCTACCCAGCTCTAATAAAACCAATCATAAGATGACATCCATTGCTACAAAGCCTATCATATGATGACATCCATTGCTACAAATCCTATCATACAATGACTCCATTATATTTCACGCACATGCTAAAGCTAAGGGTATCGACATATCCTTTTGCAAGTCTTTCCACAACACAAGGCTCAAATCCATTCCAACACAAGCTTCTAGCATGCTCCACAAATAAGTGCCTACAACAAAATAGTAAAAAGAGGTGGGCATGAGCATGAATGTCTTAGTNGTGAAGAGTCTCGGGTGTAAAGGTGTAATGTTGATGTCCTGTGTGAGAGGTCTGGCCTCTGTTTATACAGTGATCGTCGGGTCTCCCAATCTTGGTAGAAGTAGGAGTCCTAGTATGACTCTGATGCAAACCCTAGGAGAATTAGGGTTGTGGTAAGCTGTCTTACCAGTGTCCGTATAGGAAGGTGATTCTGATTGGGAGAGTAACTCCGAATAGGAAAGTGATCAGGAATAGGAAAGTATTCTGAGGGGGTTGTGGGCTTTGGATTTGTCCGTGGACATAGGACATGGGCCAGGTTTGAGAGGCTTGTGCCCGCTCAGTTTGGGCCGGTTTTGTTCCTCATGTTTAGAAGAGAACTACGGCTTGGGCCTTTGCAGGACTGGGCTTGGTCCTTCTTCGTTAATGGTCCTTTTTCCCTATTTGGGCCAAGGACGATTTTTGGCCCTAACAGTAGCCTAAATGACACGTGACATTTTATTTGTGCCAGTTTCGACAATTGTATCTGAGTCAACATTCTCAATTAGTGGTCGGACTGTTGAGACAGAAGATACTCTTTAATTAATGGGATGGTTAAGTGATAATGTGTTTACGGGATTGAACTCATACAGATAGAAGACTACAATAACACCTTAAAGATCCCGAACTACTCAAACTCTCCAAGAACACAAATTTGAACGATGTAAATATTGATGATGTAAATGAATAATTTAATGAAAGCAAATTTATTTAATTGTTTATTTGTGAAGTGTGATTGTGTGAATATTATATTCATGCTAAAATTAATTAATTAAATTATCTCTTTAAAGTTTAAATTAAAAACACTGTAAATTTATAAATAATTATTAATTATAATTAACCATTCATTTATATTTCTAATAATGAATTAAAAATTTACAAATCACCCCTAAAAAGTTACATAAACCCCTATATAATTTTGATTTAGCCCCTAAATATACAAAAAGTTAAGGGTAAAATAAAATTTTCAAGCCCATAGGACTTGTCCTAAGACCGGTCCTAGGCACCGATTTAGGCCCTAAAAGTTTTCATGAGCCCGAGACTGAGACTAGTCCCAGGCCCATTTAAGACTGGTCCCAAATGGGATCGGTCCCAACCGGGCCTAAACCTAGGCCCACTTGGGTCCAGTCCCTACCCAGCTCTAATAAAGCCAATCATAAGATGACATCCGTTACTACAAAGCCTATCATATGATGACATCCGTTACTACAAAGCCTATCATATGATGACATCCATTGCTACAAATCCTATCATACGATGACTCCATTATATTTCACGCACATGCTAAAGCTAAGGGTGTCGACATATCCTTTTGCAAGTCTTTCCACAACACAAGGCTCAAATCCATTCCAACACAAGCTTCCAGCATGCTCCACAAATAAACTGCCTACAACAAAATAGTAACAAGAGGTGGGCATGAGCATGAATGTCTTAGTCCAACCTGCCTTATTAACATCCCTAATTGCTGGTTAAGATGTTTCTTTGTTTGGGGCCAAGCCCAAAGCCCGAGCCAGAGCCCGATGGCAAATCCGAACCGACCCGAAGTACATGTAACCCACATTGATGGTGGGTGGTATATGCATATACGCATGCTAGGGATTTTCGAAGACAACACAAATAAAATCAACAAGAAAGAAAGAAAGTGGATTGAAATTTGTAAAACAAACCCACTTATTTCTCCAAGAAAACAAGAAAAACCAAACACAAAACCAAAACCAAAACACTTTCTCCTCTCTTCCATAAAACTCCCTTCTATCTCGTTTATTCATCTTCGTCTTAACGCCGCTATCTCAGTAATTGTGTCCTCAACACGGTTTATTTTTCTTCTTTTTAAATTCTATACACACACTGTTTTCTCTATTTTTCTATTCATTTTTAATTTTCGCTCATTTTTATTCGCTGAATTACAGTTCATAGTACTTGAAACACCCGGCGTTGACAGGCGTACGATTGCCTTTCATCTCTTTTATTGGGTTTGGGTTGGTTCTAATCCAAAAGTTGAGGGTTAGTTTCCGCAATTGCTTGAAATTATCATCCAAATATTCTCTGTGAAGAATTATATTTTTTGGGGAGTCTTGTTTCAGTGATATGGGTTAGAGTTGTTTAGGTTTTGAGTTGTTTGGTTGTTTAGCAGAATGGGTTTGTGTTGTTGTTGTAGCATTGCATTGTTTTGTTCTTCATTATTGAAAGGGTAAGGGTAAGAGTGTTCTGAGACTATATTAGTTTGGTTTAGCAGGGATGAGGGTCTTCATTGTTTGCTGAAGAACCCTAGAATTAGCATTTCTAACAGAATTCATTTGTTTTTTTTTTTAAACGAAATTGCTTTTCGGAGAAGCCCTTTTGAATTCAAGTTCTTTTTGTTGACATGACTCAGAGGAATTTTCTAGTTTTTGGATATTGATTGGCTAAATGGCTGGTTGGTTGGCTGATTGATTGATTGAAGTTGTTGTTGGCTCAAGAATTTGTTGTGTTAAGAAGTGAAAGTTGTACGGAGAGAACATATAAAACCCTAATTTTTTTCAGTGTACATAACATTTTGGAAAATTTTTGGTTTGAAAATTTTTGATTGACCCAAATAGTTTTTGTATTTCGCGGGTGGATGTGAGTGGGATTTTAAGAAAGGGAGAGTGTGTTGAAGGTGAAATTTGGTGGGTTTTTGAAGAAACTGAAAGTCGCTGTTTAGTGATTGCTTTTTGAGGGAATATAGGAACTTACGTGGAAGAAGAATTTGTTTTTGTTTTCTTCTATGTGATCATGTTTAGTAATCGTGATGGAAAGAAGTGAGCCTGCGTTAGTGCCAGAATGGTTGAAAAACAGCGGAAGTGTCACTGGTGGTGGCAGTGCAAGCCACCATTTTGCGTCACAGAATTCGTATTCAGGTAAACTTGTTTACTTGACATATAGGCTATAGGATTGTTTACCTAATGTTTGGTTGCAGTTGAAGTTTGGGATGGAAATGATGGATGAAAATTCGAACCTCTATTTGATGTTTTATGGTTTACAGGTGTCTTGTTAAGGCTTTTGCCAGCCTTAAGGGTTTTATTGATGTTTATTAAAACAGTATCTCGAATTCTGCGAGTGTCATTATGTAGATGCTTAATTTACCACGTGCCACGTGAGAGGAATAAAATTCTCCTTTTATTGTTTTAATGTCCATATGTTACCATTGAAATTTCTCAAAATGTGCAGAGTATTGACTTTCTTGCAAAATTTCTACAAATAGAGTTAAGGACATTCAAAAACTTATCAGAAACTGTTAAAGCCAGTTTTTTTCGTTTTTGTGGTAGATTTAGCTGTAATCTTGGAAATTTTTTTTTTTTTTTTTTTTAATCAATAACACGCTTTTAAATTTTATTCTTGTGGAGAAACTTCCTCTGAGATACAATCTTGATTTTCTCTGTTATGTTTCTGGTAGTGATGTTTCTCGAAGTGAAAACAAAATTTAAATTTAATTTTTCCATTCCATTTCACATACATTTTAGCTATCAAATTGAATATATTTGAGCTTTCTGATTGACATTCAGATAAAATATCCTAACGATGTTTCTCTATTATAGACGATCATTTTGTGTCGAAACATGCAAGGAATAGGTCATCTCTGAGCAGTGATTACAATATAGGCCCCACAGTTGGTTCTGATAGGTCTACTTCTTATTTTCGCTGGAGTACTAGTAGTAACGGTTCTAGTCACCTGCGATCATATAGTAATTTTGGTAGAAATTACCATGATAGGGATTGGGAGAAGGACATTAACAATCATTGTGATACAGATAAATCAGGTTTGGGGAATCGACAGTGCTATGAACTTCCTGACGCACTGGGTAGCATCTTACCAAGTAGGTTTGAGAAAGAAAAATTACAACATTCGCAGTCTATTGTTACTGGAAAACAGGGTGATATGTGGCAAAGGAAGGTGGCAGGTGACTTGACCAATTCCAATAGAGGCAGTTACAACAATGCCAAAGGTTTTTTAAACCGCAGTAGTGTTATTAGCAATGTGGACAAAACTGCATTTGAACGGGATTTCCCCTCACTTGGAGTTGAAGAAAGACAAGGTGGCTCAGAAATTGGAAGAGTCTCATCTCCTGGATTGAGTACTGCCATTCAGACAGCACAGACTATTGGAGGTGATGTCTGGACTTCTGCACTAGCAGAGGTACCAGTGATTATAGGAAGCAGGAGTACTACATCTATGCAGCAAAATGTTTCTGTAACCTCTGTTTCTGTGTCTCCAGCCCCTTCAACGGGGCTCAATATGGCTGAAACATTGGTTCAGGGTCCTCGAGCTCAAACGCTTCCCCAGGTAACTTTAATATCTTTCTGCATGTTTAGGCATTTGTTAGAATATATATTCATGCTAACATGTTGTCATGCTGTTTTCTAGTTGTCTGTTGGAACTCAGAGGCTTGAAGAGTTGGCTATTAAGCAATCAAGGCAACTAATTCCCATGACTCCATCCATGCCTAAAACTTTGGTAAGAGCTGAAGTGTCTTTTATTATTTATAAATGCACGGTTTAGGGTATATCTATGTAGTCTTCCACTTTGTTGCTTGTAAATTTTTGAAGATTTCCATTGCACTTTTGGTGGTCTTCTTGGTGGATTTTAGTGAGAATACTTTAATCATACTTCCTGAATTCGCTGGATAATTTATTCTAGGGAAAATATTGCTGACAGTTGCCTTTACCTCTTAGGTTTCCCTCTTGTAAGCCTTAAATAGCATGTGGAGTTAGGGCGTAGACAAGACATCTTGAATCCTGAATTTGTTAATGCTTCTTTTCCGATAGTGTGAATGGCACAAATGGTTGATACTTACTGCCATTTCAGTCTGTATGGTTCTCATTATTTTTATTACTCTCATTGTCATCATCATCATTTTTAGTGCTATTAAACATTGAAAGGTTGTGTGGATAATTATAAAATATGGATGTGGGATCACTTCATGTGCTCTATAAATTCCGTTGGCAGTAAATGTTATATCTTGCTTGGAAACCCCTGCCTATTGTTAAGTGCAATACTAGTGTCCTTCACCAGTGATGCCTATTTGGATAAACAAAGTTGTGCGCCAATTTATCAAGGAAAGCACTAATATGAATATGCTTGTTGTTATTCACTTTATATGTTGTTTATGTCTGATATGTTAAATACATAAAACACCTATATGGCCATTACTTCGCTCCTATATTTTGTATGATTCAGTGCAAGTTACATTGTGTCTCGATCTAAAGATTATGGTTTAATTAGTCAATTGCAATTCGGAAATCTCTATTATAAGTTGTTTCTCAATATCAAAACAATTTCATATCATGTAGAAGAAGTGATGATTTATTTTTAATTAACTTTCATTTAACTCCAGTTTCCATTAGCTATTTTGGAACACTAAGTTGTTGTCCAATTGCTGGTCTTGTAATTAAGACAATTAGCTTCTTGCTAATTGTAGCTTCATCTTTCCTGGTAACTGATGGTTTATCCTGGTGTTAAGAGTAACATTTTGAAGTGTCTTATAAACATTTTGATTCCTAAATATAAAACTAAACTTCAACATGGCTAGGCATGGTGCGGCTGCCACGCATTGCTCAAGCATGTATGTGGTTGACACCTGTGAGAGTTGATTAAGCGGGTGGTCCCTTCCCCCACCCTCACTCTCACATCATGTGGTGGTCGCGTCTCTTATTGGCATAGCACGGTAGCCGCTTCTTACCCTGTGGATCCAGTTGCTACAACGAATTTGTAAACCTGTGAAGAGATTGATGAGAAAAAGTGTTTTAAATCTCTTCACAACTTTACAACTTTGATCCGGCAGCTGGATCCACGCACATATTTTGTGGGTGTTTATTTTTTGTTTCATCATGGAAGAATCTCTTTCTCATTTTTATGATGGATATGTCTGTTAGTTGGCTTTCATGTGTTTTAGGTTTTACTTAGAAATTTCCATTGGGAAATAGTTTGCTTTGACAAACATTTCGTAAGTGTTTTCCTGATTTTGAAAATATATATCACTTCTTTTTTTTATTCTGATAAGTTTATTATTGCTTGTTTTTATTGGAAACGGTAGCTTATGAATTTGGTTTAATAAGAAACTATTAATTTTTTATGGTTTAAGTGCCGGTGCTACATAAATTATTGTGTTAATTTTATTGCCTCTTTTCTGTGTGAAGATGGGAGAAAATATTTTATGCTCCATGTGTTTATTTTCTATCTTGTGCCTCATGCCTATATACGAACCCTTGACTTGTTAAATTAAAATATTTAGATCTTAAACAATTTTGAAATCATTCTTTTGGTCATAGAGTCGGAGGAGATGGTGCTATCTGAAATAAGGCCTGTGATAAAAAATGGTAGTGAAGGTAATTATCTATCTTTAAATGCATGGCATTTGTTGATCAGTGTTGGGGAGGCAGTTGGTTTGTCTATTTTTTAACTAAAGAACTTTAGTAATGAATGATTCCTATTATTCATGCTTTATTAAATATACAAATATTTCATGTGTATCCATAGGGCATGGTTATACTGGTGGTGTCCTTGAATTAATTTGCAAAACCATTTATCCTTGTTAACTGATGAAGTAGGATAGTATTTTTCATGAACTTGGAAGTTTGTATGATATTAGAGTCAATATTTGTTTAGATTACTATGATGTAGTAAAAGTATATGCTGTTTGTCAATTTCTTGACAATGTACTTGTTCATAGATGAACCTACATTAGCTAATACAGGTGGAAAATCAAAGGTTATAATGAGAATCTAGTTAAAACTTAGTGTTAGAACATTACTTATTTCTTTTTAATTTATGGAATCAGAGTTTGAAGACTCTTCCTTGGAGAGAGATAGGTCATGATTTTGGTTCTGCCAAGAATGTTACTCAGAGTTGCAGACTCGTGGATAATCTAGACAGCTAGCCTGTAAAAGTGCTCCTTTTTGTGCCATTTTTGTTAAGTGGACTAGGCAGTTTTTTGAAGGGAAAATATAAGATGGGTGATCTTAAGGTTGTGATTTCTTAGATTCTCTACATTCCCAAATTTTTTTTTTTTTTTTTTTTAATCAATAACACGCTTTTAAATTTTATTCTTGTGGAGAAACTTCCTCTGAGATACAATCTTGATTTTCTCTGTTATGTTTCTGGTAGTGATGTTTCTCGAAGTGAAAACAAAATTTAAATTTAATTTTTCCATTCCATTTCACATACATTTTAGCTATCAAATTGAATATATTTGAGCTTTCTGATTGACATTCAGATAAAATATCCTAACGATGTTTCTCTATTATAGACGATCATTTTGTGTCGAAACATGCAAGGAATAGGTCATCTCTGAGCAGTGATTACAATATAGGCCCCACAGTTGGTTCTGATAGGTCTACTTCTTATTTTCGCTGGAGTACTAGTAGTAACGGTTCTAGTCACCTGCGATCATATAGTAATTTTGGTAGAAATTACCATGATAGGGATTGGGAGAAGGACATTAACAATCATTGTGATACAGATAAATCAGGTTTGGGGAATCGACAGTGCTATGAACTTCCTGACGCACTGGGTAGCATCTTACCAAGTAGGTTTGAGAAAGAAAAATTACAACATTCGCAGTCTATTGTTACTGGAAAACAGGGTGATATGTGGCAAAGGAAGGTGGCAGGTGACTTGACCAATTCCAATAGAGGCAGTTACAACAATGCCAAAGGTTTTTTAAACCGCAGTAGTGTTATTAGCAATGTGGACAAAACTGCATTTGAACGGGATTTCCCCTCACTTGGAGTTGAAGAAAGACAAGGTGGCTCAGAAATTGGAAGAGTCTCATCTCCTGGATTGAGTACTGCCATTCAGACAGCACAGACTATTGGAGGTGATGTCTGGACTTCTGCACTAGCAGAGGTACCAGTGATTATAGGAAGCAGGAGTACTACATCTATGCAGCAAAATGTTTCTGTAACCTCTGTTTCTGTGTCTCCAGCCCCTTCAACGGGGCTCAATATGGCTGAAACATTGGTTCAGGGTCCTCGAGCTCAAACGCTTCCCCAGGTAACTTTAATATCTTTCTGCATGTTTAGGCATTTGTTAGAATATATATTCATGCTAACATGTTGTCATGCTGTTTTCTAGTTGTCTGTTGGAACTCAGAGGCTTGAAGAGTTGGCTATTAAGCAATCAAGGCAACTAATTCCCATGACTCCATCCATGCCTAAAACTTTGGTAAGAGCTGAAGTGTCTTTTATTATTTATAAATGCACGGTTTAGGGTATATCTATGTAGTCTTCCACTTTGTTGCTTGTAAATTTTTGAAGATTTCCATTGCACTTTTGGTGGTCTTCTTGGTGGATTTTAGTGAGAATACTTTAATCATACTTCCTGAATTCGCTGGATAATTTATTCTAGGGAAAATATTGCTGACAGTTGCCTTTACCTCTTAGGTTTCCCTCTTGTAAGCCTTAAATAGCATGTGGAGTTAGGGCGTAGACAAGACATCTTGAATCCTGAATTTGTTAATGCTTCTTTTCCGATAGTGTGAATGGCACAAATGGTTGATACTTACTGCCATTTCAGTCTGTATGGTTCTCATTATTTTTATTACTCTCATTGTCATCATCATCATTTTTAGTGCTATTAAACATTGAAAGGTTGTGTGGATAATTATAAAATATGGATGTGGGATCACTTCATGTGCTCTATAAATTCCGTTGGCAGTAAATGTTATATCTTGCTTGGAAACCCCTGCCTATTGTTAAGTGCAATACTAGTGTCCTTCACCAGTGATGCCTATTTGGATAAACAAAGTTGTGCGCCAATTTATCAAGGAAAGCACTAATATGAATATGCTTGTTGTTATTCACTTTATATGTTGTTTATGTCTGATATGTTAAATACATAAAACACCTATATGGCCATTACTTCGCTCCTATATTTTGTATGATTCAGTGCAAGTTACATTGTGTCTCGATCTAAAGATTATGGTTTAATTAGTCAATTGCAATTCGGAAATCTCTATTATAAGTTGTTTCTCAATATCAAAACAATTTCATATCATGTAGAAGAAGTGATGATTTATTTTTAATTAACTTTCATTTAACTCCAGTTTCCATTAGCTATTTTGGAACACTAAGTTGTTGTCCAATTGCTGGTCTTGTAATTAAGACAATTAGCTTCTTGCTAATTGTAGCTTCATCTTTCCTGGTAACTGATGGTTTATCCTGGTGTTAAGAGTAACATTTTGAAGTGTCTTATAAACATTTTGATTCCTAAATATAAAACTAAACTTCAACATGGCTAGGCATGGTGCGGCTGCCACGCATTGCTCAAGCATGTATGTGGTTGACACCTGTGAGAGTTGATTAAGCGGGTGGTCCCTTCCCCCACCCTCACTCTCACATCATGTGGTGGTCGCGTCTCTTATTGGCATAGCACGGTAGCCGCTTCTTACCCTGTGGATCCAGTTGCTACAACGAATTTGTAAACCTGTGAAGAGATTGATGAGAAAAAGTGTTTTAAATCTCTTCACAACTTTACAACTTTGATCCGGCAGCTGGATCCACGCACATATTTTGTGGGTGTTTATTTTTTGTTTCATCATGGAAGAATCTCTTTCTCATTTTTATGATGGATATGTCTGTTAGTTGGCTTTCATGTGTTTTAGGTTTTACTTAGAAATTTCCATTGGGAAATAGTTTGCTTTGACAAACATTTCGTAAGTGTTTTCCTGATTTTGAAAATATATATCACTTCTTTTTTTTATTCTGATAAGTTTATTATTGCTTGTTTTTATTGGAAACGGTAGCTTATGAATTTGGTTTAATAAGAAACTATTAATTTTTTATGGTTTAAGTGCCGGTGCTACATAAATTATTGTGTTAATTTTATTGCCTCTTTTCTGTGTGAAGATGGGAGAAAATATTTTATGCTCCATGTGTTTATTTTCTATCTTGTGCCTCATGCCTATATACGAACCCTTGACTTGTTAAATTAAAATATTTAGATCTTAAACAATTTTGAAATCATTCTTTTGGTCATAGAGTCGGAGGAGATGGTGCTATCTGAAATAAGGCCTGTGATAAAAAATGGTAGTGAAGGTAATTATCTATCTTTAAATGCATGGCATTTGTTGATCAGTGTTGGGGAGGCAGTTGGTTTGTCTATTTTTTAACTAAAGAACTTTAGTAATGAATGATTCCTATTATTCATGCTTTATTAAATATACAAATATTTCATGTGTATCCATAGGGCATGGTTATACTGGTGGTGTCCTTGAATTAATTTGCAAAACCATTTATCCTTGTTAACTGATGAAGTAGGATAGTATTTTTCATGAAGTTGGAAGTTTGTATGATATTAGAGTCAATATTTGTTTCGATTACTATCATGTAGTAAAAGTATATGTTGTTTGTCAATTTCTTGACAATGTACCTGTTCATAGATGAACCTACATTAGCTAATACAGGTGGAAAATCAAAGAGTATAATGAGAATCTAGTTAAAACTTAGTGTTAGAACATTATTTCTTTTTAATTTATGGAATCAGAGTTTGAAGACTCTTCCTTGGAGAGAGATAGGTCATGATTTTGGTTCTGCCAAGAATGTTACTCAGAGTTGCAGACTTGTGGATAATCTAAACAGCTAGCCTGTAAAAGTGCTCCTTTTTGTGCCATTTTTGTTAAGTGGACTAGGCAGTTTTTTGAAGGGAAAATATAAGATGGGTGATCTTAAGGTTGTGATTTCTTAGATTCTCTACATGTTTATCAACTTGGACTGTCTTTTTGTTTAATTTTAGTCTTGTAGAATCTCTCTTAAGTATTGCTGGTGTTGAATTGCATCCTCTACTGCCCTTTTAATTTAATAAAAAAGTGAACAAGAAGAAGAAGAAGAAGAAGAACAAGAAGAAGAAGAAGGAGAAAGGTCACATGGAAGTTTATGATTGGCTTCTATTTGTCCTTATCAGATAGAAGATCTTCTTCCATGTTAGATGATGAAGAAACGTCTATTCACCTATTTCTTTATTGTGAGGTAGCCAAATCTATAGCATAATGGGTTCGGAGCTCTATGAGTAAGGTTGAATGTGCTCTGAAGAAGACTGAGAGTAGCTTTCCATATCAAATTTTAAAATTATGTTCCCGGAAATTTTTCACCAGATAATAGTGATCACCATAAATTACGTTCTTCTATTAAATATTACCTGAATGTCTAATTTTGAAATAGTATAAGTGTTTAGTCATTTTCCCTTTTTTTAGTTGAAGCACTTGTAGTATTAATTAGATTTGGCTACAGAGCAAAATAAATGATTGTAGACATGTATTCTTATTTAGTGAGTTTTATTAACTTTTAATTTTTGATCATTTGTGTGTATTAGACACTTCACTTGGCTAGTTGGCTTATTGTTTAATTTCTCCTTAGGTGGTCAGCCCTTCTGAGAAATCAAAAGCCAAGGTTGTGCCGCAGCAGCAGCATCCATTGCACACTGTCAATAACATTCGTGGGGGGCCTGTAAGATGTGATAGTCCTAAAACATTTAACGAGGCCAGGCTTTGTGTCCTGAAACCATCTCGTGAAGTGAACAGTGTCTCTTCAACCACAAAGGATAGTTTAAGTCCCACTAACATAAGCAAAGTAGTGATTAGTCCACATGGCACTTCATCGCCTTCTGGTTCTGTTCCCTTTAGGAGCTCAGGCAACAGCCCAAAAAAGGGTGCCGAACGCAGTTCTGGTCCTCTCCGTGCAACCATTGAGAAGAGACCAACATCTCAAGCTCAGAGCAGGAATGATTTTTTCAACCTCTTGAAGAAGAAATCTTCTACAAACTCAACTTCTACTGTCCCAGATTCTTCATCCGTGTCAGAAAAATCTGGTGAAATTGTTACAGAAGATGCTGGTGAATCTGTTCCTCTTCAGGTTTCGGCGGATTCTTCCCCATTGTCAACCAACAATAGTGGTGGAATAACCCAAAATGGTGATGCTTATGATGGATCTCAGGTACGTCTTGGCAATGGAGAGAAACATTTGAGCCCTGATATGGTCCTTGATCCTGATGAGGAAGAGGCTGCCTTTTTGCGATCACTTGGTTGGGAGGAAAATGCTGGTGAAGATGAAGGCCTCACCGAGGAGGAGATAAGCACTTTTGTTAAGGAGGTAATACCTCTTCTTCTTTTTATCAACTTGTGCTCCTTGGTGGGTGATTGTCTCTATTGTCTTGTACATCTTGTAAAAGCAAGCTGGTTGTGTAACTTTGAGTTCTTTTTGTTGTTTGGTTTCAGTACATGAAATTGAGACCGTCCTCGAAGCTTCTCCACGGAATATTGGCCAACCATGCCATTTAACCCGCAGGATAGATGCAGTGGCGGTGCTTTGACTCACTGAGAGGTTTTATGAATTGAAAGAAAGAAAATTGTGGTTTGTTTTCTTGGTTCTTCGATTTCTTTTAAAGAGGTACAAAGGTTTGCAGAAGAGGGGATAGGAATAGGTTTTGTTTTGGTGTTGAGGATAAATAGTAATAGAAGATGGGGTTTCTCTTCTGAGTTTTTTCTGTGAGGGGGCACAATTACTGAAAAAGAAAAGAAGGTAGGTTTAGTTTTGTTTTGATGTTTATATTTGGAAAAATAATGCCATTATTCTTTTATAGACAATTGATTCCATCACCCCATTTATGTTTATTTTGTTTAGTAAAGGTTTTAAGAATATGAACGGTATTCCTTTTCATTACGATATTCTTGATGGTTTTAAGAATCTTGTGAGATTGTTTAAATGAAATGTATTTGATGTTATAAAAATCCTCTTTAAAATCTCTTAGAAAATAGAAATATGAAAAACCTCTTTATAAAAGTGGGTACTTAATAGTTTTTAATAACAAAAGATTTTAAGAAATCTTGTTTACTAGATAAATTAAATGACGGAAGTAATTTTTAGTTATTTATAAAAAGTTTCTTTAAACCATATTTGATGTCGAAAATATTATATAAATAGATTCCATCAAATTAGTTAGGGTTTTTCTTTCCACTATTTTTTCTGAATTTCAAAACATAATTAGGGTTTACCCAATTTCTCCATTAGGTCTTTTGTTTATACCCAATTTTTTCAATTTTAAATTTGAAGCTTAATTTTTCTTCTTCAAATTCACATTCATATGAGACTATTTTTTCCATAACTTTAGTAATATATTTTTATCAAACAAAGAATTATTCGAAATAACCAAAAAAAAAAAAAAAAAAAATGTTTCAATGATTTAGATTAGACTTAGTTTTATGATTAAGAATTAAAGTAAAAAAAAAAAATAAAAGAATGATATAAAATAGAGTTTGAATATATTTAAAAATTATTATATGATTTTTAATAATTTAAATTAAGGTTAAAATTGTTAAATAAAAACATATTTATAAGTGAAGAATGTAGAAAGTTTGTGTGGGTTCAATAGTGTACGTTAAGGCCCATATAAAAGTATTTATTGAAACATATAAAATTAAAAAAAAAAAAATCTAATAAAATTAGCTTATTTTGACCATGAACCTAAGATTTTGTCAAAATGGATTATTTCATTTCACATGGAGATCACTAAATTATAACTCTCCATGTGCTGCCAAATTTGCTTTTAAAAGAAAATATGTAAGGGAGAAGTGAGAGATTTTTTGATAAGAGAATAATATAAGAGCAAGAGAAATATACAAGACTTTTTTTCACAATGCTCCTCCTCCAACTAGAAGGAAAAGCCTTTATTTATAGAGAAGATTAACACATTGCATTCAAGACTCATAAATGAGCCATTTGATACATGAGTAGACTTTTTGACTTTTTTTTTTTTTTACATTTATTTGCCTACAATACTTGGCTTTTACAATTCATATGGAGGATATTACACTGAGTTGGCAAACTGTCATGTAGTCCATGACTATTTTACAGATAACATAAAGGACACAACTTTTTTGTTTTCAGACAGGCAGAACTTTAATCATCTGTCAGGTTTGTAACGTGCCACGAGTCCTCATCCTGGAAATCAAGACACCCATTGATTGAATCCAGTTAGCAGGGATTTGTCGAGAAGATGTATCTGGATGAGTATCCAGAGAAATGTCTAAAAACTGAGATGTTTGCTTTACAGAGGTACTTGGTGCATGCATGTACTATTGTCGCTTGGATTTATGAAGATAGTAATTATGAGATTATTGAACCTCTTCTTCTTGCATAGTATCTGGTTGTGAGTCTGGATACCACCATTTTGGATAATCTGAAGTGGCATTGAATTGAGCAATGATGGAATGTATGCATGTTTGTTTGGCTTGAAGTAATTTCTCAGTGTAGTCTAGAGGAAAGAGTTCCCACGGATCATCATCACGAAAGGATGGTCATATTTCATCTGGAATTATTTGATTTTTTTTCAAATTTTTTTTTTTTTTGAATTGATCTAGTCTCAACAGGATGGTCAAACATATTACAGATGAGATTATACGAATAAGACCGATGAAATGTGACTTGATGCTGTGCCATCGGATTTGATGGAGTGATGTCCGTGGAAAAACATGATAGACCATGCCATTTTGGTAGACATAGGACCTTTGTATTGGGCAAGTTGATGAGCAAACACAAACTTTTATTTTTCTAGGGTTTTAAACCATTTAAGAAAAGTCATCAAAGAGTGTAACTCAAAGGTTGAGGATGACTGGAATTGGGAAATTATTTTCAACATATGATGGACCGAGAATTGAATGGCAATGTGGTACTGGTGTAACATATACCAAAAGAATCATAATAATTCTTTCGAAAATATGATATCAAGACCTGGGGGTAAACAAAAGATTTTTGAAAAAGGGTAATTTGGATGGACACCTAACATGTTGAAGATTCTAGAGCGGACTTGAACGAAAAAATGTAAAATAGAGAAATATTTTAGAGAGATGAAATATAGAGCTAAAGAGTTCAAAGAGCAGAAAACTTTTTATTAACTGTCTAACTATATAGACAGAAGAACGCTGCACTTATATAGCAGGTACAAGAAGAACAAAATGTCACCGTATGATAGTCAAGAGTTAATCTTTTACAAAACAGACCCCAAGCTTTGATCTTTTACATAAACACCCTTCTCACTCACTTTTATACTCAATATTCTCCCTTAAACCAAAATACTTGATATTGATACAGTACTTGGAAACACTGTCTTACACCATCATTCTGCCTTATACCAACATTCCCTCGTAAGCTAGACACTCTTTAGCCTTATTCTACTTCCAAGTTCAGCCTTACTTTGCAGTAGCCTTTAATAGTCACCTATTCTTATTCTGCATTTTTTTCACCAATCTGAACATTTAACCATTCAATTACTTCTAATTCTAATCTGCATATTTGCTTCTTATTCTGCATATTTGCATGAATTTTCCAGCACAGTCAGGCCAACTACTCAACACATTTTAGACCAACAACTCATCACATTTCAGCCCAGCATATTTGCATGAATTTTCCAACATAGTCAGGCCAACTACTCAACACATTTTAGACCAACAACTCATCACATTTCAGCCTACCAACATTTCAACACATTTTCAGCAGAATCAAATCACCAACTCAACACATTGCAAACCAACAACTCATCACATTTCAGACTACGAACATTTCAACACATTTTCTAGCAGAATCAAATCAACAATTCAACACATTTTAGACCAACAACTCATCACATTTCAGTCAACCAACATTTCAACACAGGAAATGGCCACCAATCAGAACCAGAACACATTTATCCGTTACTCATGTTGATCATCACTAGCACACTCAACAGTTTCATCAGTAGGGAGTTCAGATGTTACAGTAAGGTTGTCCCGCAGCATGATAAATCTAGAGTTGGGGAGAGCTTTTGTTAATAGATCTGCAATTTGATATTCAGAGGCAATGTACTGAACATTTAACAGCTTCCTAGTCACCAAATCTCTAACAAAATGCACATCTATTTCTATGTGCTTTGTGTGAGCGTGAAAAACAGGGTTGGAAGAGAGTGCTCCAACACTCATGTTGTCACACCAAATGATTGGAATGTGACTAATATGAATTCTCAACTCTGAGAATAAATGTTGAATCCAGACCAGCTCCGTAGCAGCCTGACTAAGTGACCTATACTCAGCCTTTATGGATGACAATGCAACTACTTTTTGTTTCCAAGAGGACCACTAAACCAGATTACCACCTAAGAAAACACTGTAGCCACTGGTTGATCTCCTGTCAGTTTCATCCCCAACCCAATCGGTATCAGCAAAAGCTTCTAATTTGAATGGCAGTGTTTTAGTAAAAAGAATGTCATGGTGTAGAGTGCCTTTAACATATCTTAGGATCCTTTTGCAAGCTGTCCAATGAGCTTCAGTAGGCTGCTGTAGGAATTGGCTAAGCTTGTTTACCGTAAAATCTAAATCTGGTCTGGATAGGGTTAAGTATTGCAGGCCACCAATGATGCTTTTATATAGGGTAGGCTGATCAAACAGGTTACTGTCTTCTTTTCCAAGTCTAAGACCAGTAGCCATAGGGGTAGAGCAGGGTTTGGATTCTGCCATTCCAGCTTTTGTGAGAAGGTCTTGTGCATATTTGGTCTGAGTTAGGAGCAAACCATCTGCATTCCTTTTAACTTCAAATCCCAGAAAATATTGCACTGCCCCTAGAGCCTTTAGAGCAAATTTTTTATCCAAGTCAGCAACTAGAGTTGAGATAAGTTGAGTATCATTTCCTGTTACAAGAATATCATCTACATATACTAGTAGGTACACGAGAATAGAATCCTTCTTATAGAAGAATAAACTAACATCTGAAACTGAATTTTCAAAACCCCAATCAACCAATGCAGATTTTAATTTATCAAACCAAGCTCTAGGAGTTTATTTAAGTCCATAAAAGGCTTTATTTAGCCTACAAACCTGCTGTGGGTTGTGTTTACTCCTTGCACCACTAGAGTATCCTTCAGAAGGTAGCATGAATACCTTCTCTGTCAGGTCTCCATTCAGAAAAGCATTGTTGACATCCAACTGTTGAATGGGCCAATTATGATGCACTGCCAATGATAGCATAACCCTGATTGTGGCTACCTTTACCACTGGTGAAAATGTGTCAAAATAATCCACTATTGGGGTCTGTTGGAAGCCCTTAGTAACTAACCTTGCTTTGTATTTTTGCAAGGTTCCATCTAAATGTAGTTTGGTTTTGAAAACCCACTTGCATCCTACCACATTCATGCCTTCTTCATAAGGAACAAACTCCCAAGTATTGTTCCTTAACAAAGCCTGATATTCAGTGTCCATAGCATGCTTCCTTTCAGGACTTAGTAAAGCCTCTGTGAAAGTCTTGGGTTTTGAAAGTATAATAGGACTTGTAACAACAGCTTGATAGGCAATGTACTCAGGATTTGGTTTAGAATGGCCAGTTTTGGATCGGGTTAGCATGGGATGAGTATTCTGTGCTACAGTAGAGATATTAGGTAGAACCACCTCCAATTCAGTACCAGGAATACTATTATGAGACTAACATTGTGTATTGGATATAGGAGATAGGTTACCAAAAGATTGAAGTTGTTTGGCAGATTCAGAGGAGTTGAACTTAGCTATAGAGATAGTATCTGCAGGTGAATTATCACATAAGCCAACAGGTCTTGGAGAATCCGGTTCAGTCATAAGAATAGTTGGTGAAGGCTTGGATATGTCAGGATGTAACAGCTGAGTTGGAGCATCAAATTGTGTTGGCTGTGTTGAAGTAGACTTAATAGA